AATATATTTCCATCAAACTTATTTCAATTTTGTAGCATATTATATTCATTATAGTTGAACTGCACATTCATAATTTAGTAGTTGGTATAGGTGGGGTTATATTTTTTTTTGCAATTGCAGTTGATGAAGACTTGGTTGGTGTTGTAGTAAGTAATAGTGATGAAGCTTTTGAGTTATATAATGGATATGCATACAGAGTTGGTTTTAGTGTGAGGAAAGGTCAACAACGTTATAAGGCATCTACTAAGTCAATTCAGATGAAGAGGTTTTTCTGTGCTATGGCTACGTATAAGGAGAAACCAAATAGTGGTGTCAAGCTTTATTCAAAAATTGATATAAGGACTGGTTGTAGTGCACTTGTTCAGTTTGACGTGGGGGGCGATGGGATGTGGACAGTTACAAAACATGTGAAAGAGCACAATCATGAGTTATGTTCATTTGGCAAGAGTTATCTACTCCGTTCACATAGAAGAGTGGGAAATAATCATCTTGAATATTTAAAAGATATGAAGAATAGTGGCGTTGCATTGGCGGATGGTATGAGGTTTTTAAAACATCAGTCATGGGGTTCTCCATTGGTTGGCTTTACCAATCGCGATGCTTACAATTTGATGGCTTTTGAGAGGTTGAAGTGTTTGGATGGAACTGATTCCAATTCTTTGATTGAAATATTTAGGAGGAGGCAATCTAATGAGGCTGATTTCTTTTTTGATTTTGAAGTTGATTTGGATGGAAGATTGTGTAGTTTTTTTTTGGATGGATGGTTAAATGAGACGGGATTATGAGTTGTTTGGTGATTTGTTAGTGCACGATACAACATATCGCACTAACAAATATGATATGATTTGTGGTCATTTTGTAGGGATGAACCATCATTGCATGAATGTAATGTTTGGATGTGGGTTTTTTATGAATGAGAGGATAGAATCATTTGCGTGGTTGTTTAGAGCGTTTTTAAGATCCATGGGTGGCAAGTGTCCACAGACTATCATGACAGATCAATGTTCAGCTATGGCTGCTGGCATTTCTATGGTGTTTCCTACATCACGCCACCGTTTTTGCATATGGCATATTGGTGAGAATTCGAAGAAGCATATCAAGACATTAAGGAATCATAAGGATTTTCTGGATATGTTCAATTGTGTGTTGAAATACACCGAGACTGAAGCCGAGTTTGAAGTTTATTAGACAAGGTATGTTATTATTTACTTTGTTCATTGGGTACAGTATCATATTTTGGTGTTTTTAGTCATTTATACTGTGTATTCAATAGGGGATAAGAATTAAGAATTTACAGTTATACAATTCTGAATTTTCTGTTATGTCATTATGAATTTTCTGTTATGTAATTATGAATTTGTGTTATAAGATTATGAATTTACAGTTATACAATTCTGAATTTTCTGTTATGTCATTATGTACTTTCTGTTATGTAATTATGAACTTTCTAGTATGAGATTATGAATTTACAGAATAAGCTTAGTAAACATGTGTTGTAACTTTCAGGATGGTGACAGAATATAAGTGTCATAAGAATACTTGGCTAGAGAAGCTTTATGATTGTAGGGAGAAGTGGTGTTCAGCATTTAACAAAGATTATTTTTCCGGGGGCATTTTATCTTCTCAAAGGAGTGAAACTACAAATCATTCAATTTCTAGAAGGTTATCTAAGACTGCTGGTTTATTTGATTTTTATTCATCCTTTGTGAGTGTTATTTCTGAATGGAGAAGTAAGGAAAATGGTGAAGATTTCCGGTGTTCTCAAGGAGTACCTGCCATGATGATGGATCATGTGAAACTTCTTTCACATGCTAGAGAGGTATATACCATTGAGATATATTTTTTGTTCGAGGAACAATTTATGAAAGGTAGCTCTTGTTATCAGTAAATTGTTTTGAATGATGGATGTAAGTGCAAGTATCATGTGTGGCGACCAGATATAGACATTATAAGGCATGGAGTAACTTTTAAGACAATCAATTTGGATATATGTTGTAGTTGCAAGCTGTTTCTAGAATTGGGAATACTTTGCTGCCATTGTTTACGTATACTTCATGTGCACTATGTTTCTAGTATTCCCGATAAATACATTTTAAAAAGATGGACTAAAAAGGTTGTTGATGGTAGAAATGTGAACATTGCATCTGTGTTTTATAATGTTGGTGTCCCTTCTTCAATTTGGGCTGTTGAGATTAGTAGGAAATTTCAAAGACTTATTGTTTCTAGTCAAGATAATAGTGTTGCTAGACAATTCTGTGATGAAGCTGTTGAGAATGCAAGGAAAAACGTTGAAGCTGAGATTGGGGATGTGAATATTGAGGAGGGTGTTGTGTCTTCTTCAAGTGGTATTGTACAAGATCCTTCAAGCCGGAGGAGTAAAGGTGTGAGAAATAAAAGGAGTAGTAGTGTTATTGAGAAGAAGTACAATTCAGCAAGGGGGAGAAAGAGTGCTGCAAACAAGTTTGCTTCAATTACAAAGGGCTCTGTCCAATCATTGGTCTTGGAAAATATATCAGAGATTGCTCGTGATTGATATCTCGTACATCCAAGTTCTGGGGGTTCACAGTTTGTTCATTTTAATAAGAATTTAGACCACAATGTAGATATAGATTGAGATTATGTTAATAGAACTTGATATATGTTTAGCAGTGATGTGATGAATACTATGCAAAATATTTAGATTTGAACTATATAGTTGCAATATGTTTGATGTGTACATCTGCAAGTTTTGCATTATATGTGTCAGATTATGAATCTACATTTGTTAAATTATGAATTTTCTTTTATGTGATTATGAATTTACAGTTATGTACTTATGAATTTTATGCTATTAGATTATGAATTGAAAATTATATAATTATGAATTTTCTATTATGTCATTATGAATTTAATGTTATGTAATAATGAATTTACAGTTATAATTGACAACTATAAATTCATAATCTCATACTAGAAAGTTCATATTTACATAACAGAAAATTCATAAATCCATATCTGCACATTTATGATTATATGTTCATAATTTATGGACTATATAATCATAATAAATTTAAAATTACACAATAGATTTAAATTAAAATAACAGATTTTTATATTTACATAACTTTGAATTCATAGCCCTGCATATGCATAATTATATAACTTTAAATTCATAATGACATAACTGAAAATTCAGAATTGTATAACTGTAAATTCATAATGACATAACAGAAAATTCATAATTATATAATAGAAAATTCATAATATGATAGTTGAAAATTCATAAATCCACATGAACCATATGTATCCTGAATAGAGTAATAGATTTTATATTCACAGCTGCAAAATATTTGTTCACATTACAAAATGAGAGATTCTGAAATTAAACCAACCGTCACAATTTCAAAATGAAGTATTCACAAATTTACTGCTTCATGTTCACAACATTTTCAAAGCCCAAAAACATTATAGATTCATTTCTTCTTTGAGAGCTCCCTTGCTGCCTTCATAACCCTGGTTTTTCAGTGTTCTTACCCCATGTGATAATGTTTGACGCATATTTAGCTCTCAGTTCCCAAATGAAGTCAGCCTTCAAAAAAAAAACATTAAATAATCAGTTTAATGGGATGTTAAAAAACAAAAAAGTAAATGTAAGTTGAAACTAATATATCTTATATTCTTACATTTACACTAGTGTTTCTCTTGAACCCACTGTTCCAATCTAGCACATTCCTTTTGTACAATTCCATGTGTCGCATGACATATATGCCACAATCAATGACATTGTCAAGCTCCTTCCCGTGAATGGCCAAGAATTCTACAGGAAGCTTTTGTATCTTACGTAATACGGGTGAGTTCTCTGCAGTCAAGTATTCCTTTAAAGCAGTCATCTGGACAAAAATCAAACTAGTGTCATAATGACATTGTCCATCAATAACAGTTACACATAATTCATAATCTCAAAACTTTAAATTCATAATATCATAATAGAAAATTCATAATATCATATCAGAACATTCATAATATCATAACATAAAATTCATAATTTTATAACTGCACTAGTTTACCAGTAGATTGGGGCAATTTTGATATTTGTCAATTTCTGTAACACCAGCAGACAGGGTTTTGTTGTCTATGATTTCAACCTTTTTTGCAATGAGGTTAATGCACACAACAAAGTAGTGTCTGTGTCGAAGCACGGGGAAAAATATCTAATGTCAGAAGAAGAAGAAGTTAGAATAGAGAAAAAAAAGTGTCATTAATAAATTAAAGTTGAACGTGGGTAATTATAAATTACCAAATCAGCATCACTAATGTCAAGATTCTCAAACTTGGCAATTTCATATTGTAACCTCTCATTAAAATTTTTCTTCCGCTTTTGAAGTGGAAGATCCGTCATCCATTGATCAGTTGAGTCAAGTTGTAGCTAAGGGGAAAAAAAAACGTATTAATGATAAGTTGTCCAATATGTAATGAGAATGATTAAATTATATATTCAGAATTATAGAGTCATACATTCATAGTTCCAAATTTTAAAATTTTTTGCTTTCAACTTACATGTACTAATGTGCTAAAATAGATGCATTTTGGCTTCCCCAATGCCCGTTTTGTGCTGAGGAATGTAAGCCTTAACGCCCATATATCAATGAAGGTGCTAAATTTCATCAATGCTCAATGTGTGAAAATCTCCACGTGTCATAGAGAATTCATCAAAGCTAAATAGTGTTTCACTACAAAACCAAAAAAGTTCGATAAATAAGGTATGTGCTAATCGTCTGAAACCGATCCTGGATAAAGTGATCTCAAAAGCACAGAGTGCGTTCATACCGGGTCGTCTCATTACTGACAATATTTTGTTGGCATAAGAGGCGCACCATTATTTGAAGAGGAAGACTCAGGGGGCAACCGGTGTAGCAGCTTTGAAAGTGGACATGAGTAAGGCCTACGATAGGGTCGAGTGGCGATTCTTAAGGTCAATTATGCTAAAATTGGGTTTCAGTGAGAGGTGGGTAGGTATACTTATGGAGACTGTACGTTGTGTGAAATATCATATCTTGCATGAACAGCAGTGGTTGGGGCCGATTGTGCCAGGTCGGGGGCTTAGGCAGGGGGACCCGCTCTCACCGTATCTCTTCTTAATGGTTGCAGAAGGTCTGAGTGCACTAATAGAAAATCGGGTGAACAGGGGTTTGATACACGGACTTAGGGTGGCAAGGGGTGCACCGCCTATTTCCCACCTTTTGTTTGCGGATGACTGTTTCCTATTTATGAGAGCAACAACGGAGGAGAGTATTCAGATGAAGGAGGTTTTGGATGTGTATGCTTTGGCGTCCGGACAGTTGGTAAATTATGACAAGTCAGTTTTATGTTTTAGTGCAAATGTGGCCCAGCATAGCAGGGAGAATGTGGTTAACGTACTGGGGGTGGCGCAAGGGGACACTGCAGGGAGATACTTGGGGCTACCTTCACTGGTAGGCCGTAATAAAAAAGCTATCCTCGGGTTTCTTAAGGATAGGATTCTCAATCGGGTAAGAAGTTGGAACTCTAGATTTTTATCAAGAGCTGGTTGGGAGGTGTTACTGAAAAATGTGTTACAGGCAATGCCGTGTTTTGCAATGATGGTTTTTGCGCTCCCTATCACCATGTGTAAGGAGATTGAAGTAATGTTAAACCGGTATTGGTGGACTGGCTCTATAGTGAATGCAAAGGGGATAAGGTGGAAGGCATGGCAGGCCGTGAGTGTGCCCAAGGCGAAGGGGGGTCTCGGGTTCAGGCGGTTACGGGAGATGAATCTTGCCTTGTTAGGCAAGCAAGCATAGCGCCTTTTAACAAGGCCGGATTCGCTAGTGGTGAGAGTGTATAAAAGCAGGTATTTTCCACACACTAATTTTCTTGATGCAGTGCCGGGGCCGACCCTTCCTATGTTTGGCGTGGGATCATGGAGGCTAAACATGTTGTTAAAAGGTGGGCGCGTCGGAGCATAGGGAAAGGCCGAGATACTATTATTGGGTCTGATCCGTGGCTAACAACGGATGAGGATCCGTATGTGAGAACGCCACTGGACCATGCGATTGCAAATGCGCCTGTGAGTGCTTTAATGGATGTGGGATATCCGCGCTGGGATGAAGGCTGTGTCAGGGACCTCTTTGATGAAAGGGACGCCACCTGCATACTAAATATACCGGTAAGTCTTCGATTGCCTAATGATCGGTGGGTTTGGAGTGGGGAACCAAAAGGCCATTACTCTGTGAAATCGTGTTACCGGAAGCTAGTTGGGGAGTTGTATGTTGATAAGCCTTGGCATCTTGTTTGGAAATTGCAGGTTCCTCCGAAAGTGCAGGTGTTTTGCTGGCAACTTGTGTCGGGTATTTTGCCAACAAGAGAGGTGTTGCTAACGAAGCGTGTAGCATGCAATATTGTATGTCACATGTGTGGTGCGCAAGAGGAGTCAACTGCTCATCTTTTCAGAGATTGCATGCATCCCCGAGCAGTTTGGACATCCATGCAAATGTCGATCTCTCCACTTGACCACGGCAGTATAACGGATTGGTTCTTTGAGAAGCTGGAGCTGCTGTTGTCGGATGAGCAAAGCAAATTTGTGATGTTGTGTTGGGGATTATGGCAAAGCAGAAATGATGCTGTGTGGAGAGGGGTCAGCTTTAATAGACATATTTTGCAACAAAAAACAATCTCCTTCTGGGAGAATTGGAAGGCAGCGAATACATTGTATGGCCTGTATGGTGATGCTCAGCAGGTTACAAACACGTGGACAAAGCCGCAAGGTGGGAGGGTGAAGTTGAATACAGATGCAGCATTAGATCAAGGCCGAAATGCCATGGGGCTGGGGTGGGTGTTGCGAGACGAGGATGGTCGATTTCTCGCAGCTCGTGGTATCCGAGTGCAGGGACAATATACGGTGGCGGAAGCGGAGGCGCTAGCAATCCGGGAAGCGCTGTCCTGGCTACGTGGAACAAGAATGGAAGAAGTGGATGTTGAGACTGATTCACAATTATGTTATTATGCAATTGTCTCTAATTCTAGTTTTTCAGCTTTTGGCCTTTTAATAGATGATGTGAAATATGCGGCCTCTTTGATAAATGAGGTTAGCTTCGGGTTTGTAAGGCGATCTGCGAATCGTGCAGCCCATGCAATTGCTCGGGAGGCCGTTTCTGTGTCAGGTTGCGGTGAGTGGTTTGATGTACCACCGCCTTATCTGGTTCCGTTTCTTGCAAGTGATTCAATGAATTAAGTTGGTTCTTTCAAAAAAAAAAAAAAGTAAACAAATTAATACATGTTTATAAATGTTAAATATTCATGGTAATAAAAAGTTTATTAAATATTCAGATTCAAACATACTCTATTGGATGATTTGGAGAAGCAGCCATGAAGGCATAGTTTGATACGGCCTTCTCTTTTACACTAGCATTATGAACAAATGGTGCATTTTTTTTGTCCAGAAAGGAGACCTCAAATTCAGTGGGATGTTTTTGAATTTTCTGATTGGCCTCCTTCGGATAGTGACATCTTCAACATCGGATTCGCTATCCAAAAATGCATGAAGCTAGTTAACAATATCATAATTGCATAATCTCATATCAGAAAATTCATAATTGGATAACTATAAATTCATAATGTCATAACACAAAATTCATAGTTGCATATATCTAAATTCATAATATCATAACAGAAATGAGTTTGATGGAAATATATTCTTTATTTAAGTAGAGGGGGCATGGGGAATGCCGAATAAATCCAGCCATGCTCTACAGAAAAGAATATATTGTCCATCAATAACAGTTACACATAATTCATAATCTCATAACATAAAATTCATAATCTCATACAGAAAATTTATAATTGCATAACAGAAAAGTCATAATCTCAAAATTGTAAATTCATAATTTCATAATTGCATTAATTTACCTATCAACATCATCAAGGTCAGCAGCAGGTGTAGCAGCATCAGCAGCACCAGGGACATCTTTGAGGAATGACACCCTAATCAATGGAGTTCTTTCTTGGTTTTCAAATGTCGAAGCAGCAGGAGCATCTTCCACAATGGTTTGAACGAGGGCATCCAAATGTTGTTCATCCAACATGCACTGCTCTTGTGGTTGTTCAACCAATGGTGCCGGGGTATAAGAAATTCCCAAATCAAATGATGGAGGTTCCATCTCCATTTGCTTGTTGGTCCTTTGAAATGCTTCAACCAAAGCATCAACTGCCTCTGTGAAAGACGCTTGGCCAAAGAAGATGTCACCAAGTTGAGATGAGGTTGGGGTTGGTGGTCTGTCCATCGTACTAGCCACGGTAATCATGGTAAAAATGCCAGGAAAGGCTGTCTTCATAACCTCCACAGGTGCATTTTGTTTCCCAACTTCAGCCATTGCCTCTCCAAATTCCAAGACATCAGCAGTAAGTCGCCATAGCACTTGTGTAACTCTGTCAACACTGGATGGCGGCACAGAGACTTTTGTGACTGTCTGATGAGCATCAGGAACAGTAGGTTGGTTTGAAGTAGAAGCAATAGCGTGAGTGGTACAATCAGCAGTAGGCTTCGCAATACGTGGGATAACTTTCCCTTTCCCATATCCACCTGACCTTCTTTCTACAGAAACTCTTTGTCTTGCAAGCTTTCTTGTCCATGCGGTGATGCTTGGGTATGTTCTTTCAACTCTCATCCCTTTGAATTGGACCCGATCAAAGTAGAATAGCTACAATTTTCAAGAAAAAAGAAAAAAAATTCATAATATCATAGTAAAAAATTCATAAATCCATATGAACCCTATATTCATAATACCATAACTGAAAATTCATAATATCATAACTGAAAATTCATACTATCATAGTAGAAAATTCATAAATCCATATGAACAATATATTCATAATATCATAAAGGCAAATTCATATTATCATGACAGAAAATTCATAATCTGTTAATAGAAAATTCATAATCTCAATAACCTTATATTTACAATTTCATAATCTTATAACACAAAATTCATAATTACATAATAGAAAATTCATAATATCATAGTAAAAAATTCATAAATCCATATGAACCCTATATTCATAATACCACAACTGAAAATTCATAATATCACAACTGAAAATTCATAATATCATAAAGGTAAATTCATAATATCATGACAGAAAATTCATAATCTGTTAACAGAAAATTCATAATCTGTTAACAGAAAATGCATAATCTCATAATCTCAATAACCCTATATTTACAATTTCATAATTATATATGTGTAATATTATAACATTGTGTTGAAAGTCAGATAATCACACAAAGACAATTAATTCAATAAAGACATTTGATGTATAACTAGAATTTACCAGTATGAATGTCATCGGTCCAGTAAAAAAGCTATTACTTTTTTTCTTATACTTCTCAATGGACTTGATAAGAGATTTGTAGGTGTAGCTACACCAGTTGTATTCCTTTATTTCATGAACATTGACCAAGGAGTTGAGTATTCTATGGTTGCAGTTGCGTGTCTGAAACCCTTGCATCATGCATGAAACAGTCAAGCTAGACCATGAAGTCCCTTTTAAATTCATCACCATAATCTCCTCTGTTAACAATCACATCCCCCATTTTGGTTGTGATTGGGGAACCAATTTTAATGTTCCACCTTGTCCTCCAGCTTTGTAATAGAGCTCTGTACTCAGGTCTTCCTTGTTCATCACACTTTGGCCCCTCAACAACCACCTTTTCTCCCCGTGGAATGCCAAGAGTGTACTCTATGTCCTCTTCTTCAACAGTGAGCTTATCGTTCTCCAATATGAAATGTGTTTGGTAAAGCTCAAAGTTTTTAAGCAGATACTGCACTAACTGTGACTCATTTGTGCACAGCTGAAGATTCAACAGGGATCCAAAACCAATATCATTCACAGCTTGTTTTTGTTCTAGGGTTAGTTTCTGTACAAGTTTGAACATGGTCTTTAGCCCCATTCGTGTGCTGAAGTAGGGAGTAGCACTCTTGTCCGCATCACCACCTTCCTATTCATCTTCCTCCACCTCTTGTATTTGATCCGGGACAATGGCTGCTTTGCCCCTTTGCCTATCATTTATTTATTTTTTTTTTTATCTTTTCTCTCTTATTACTTCATTTTGGAGAAGCTCCTCAAGCTGCTGTTGGGATGGTTCAGCAGATTGTGAATCCAATATGGCGTGTGTTGTTTTTTGTCTCTTTGTTTTTTATTTAGCTTTGACCACAGTGTTCTGTTCCTCACGCGGCGGTTGTGAGGGTTGTGATGCCTCTGCAACTTGAGAGCTCAAGATTGCCCTTGTTGTTTGTGCACGTGTTCTTTTTCGCGGAGCAGAGTCCATTGCTGATATCAAAAACATTAGAAAGCAATTAACTCATATACAACATATAATATAGTACAAAACTGAAATGAGTTTGATGGAAATATATTCTTTATTTTAGTAGAGGGGGGATGGGGAATGCCGAATAAATCCAGTCATGCTCTACAGAAAAGAATATATTGTCCATCAATAACAGTCACACATAATTCATAATATCATAACATAAAATTCATAATCTCATACAGAAAATACATAATTGCATAACAGAAAAGTTATAATCTCAAAATTGTAAATTGATAACCTCACAACAAAAAATTCATAATCTCATATGAGAAAATTCATAATGTCACATCAGAAAATTCATAATCTCATATCAGAAAGCTCATAAGAGAAACAGAGTATAAATAACAGTTGTGACATTATGGACATTCAAAGCTGCATAGATAGTGAATAAACAGCAGTAAAAACAATCTAAGAATCAATTCCATAATGTTATAA